TGCAGTCGTTCTGAAACTGTGGTTCTTTTGTTGTTTGGTGGAGAATAGAGGAAATGGAAGAGAATGAGCACACTGCTGGTGTTGGTTACACCATCAGTGAAAAGTAACAAGCACCGAGTTCATGAATCAGTCATGTTTCTCCCAAAGTATATTCTGTTGACCTCAAGCAATGTGGCAACCTGGAATTAAAGATTATGCTGCAGATGTTGCTAACTTACAGTGAAAATGGGAAAACATGAAAGGCCACCTCTTCATATAAAATGGAACAAAAACATAACTTCAAGGAGAATAAACTTTTAGTTTTTTTTTAAATATCACTTATTTATTATTGTATGTATGTGCATGTGCCATGGTGCATATGTGGAGGTAAGAGGACTATATGCAGGACTCAATCAGTGTTTCTCTCTCTCTCTCTCTCTCTCTCTCTCTCTCTCTCTCTCTCTCTCTCTCTCTCTCTCTGACTTTGTTTTTTTGGTTTTTCGAGACAGACTTGGCAGCAAGTACCTTTACCTGCTGAGCCATCTTGATGCCCGGCTCCACTCTTTCATTTTTGGAGACAGGGTCTTGCTGTATAGCCAGGCTGGCCTCAAACTCTTGATCCTCCTGCTTCTGTTTCCCAGTGCTGGAATGACATACAGGCTTGTGTAACTGTGCCCAGTTAAGTTTTAGTTTTTGTCTCAGGCGGCTTGGTTAGCATACTGGTTTTTCCACTGCATTCTACATTATTTGATACTTCTCTTGATGTCACAGTATTTTTTTAATTTAAAAAATTTTTTTACATGCATTGATGTTTGACCTACACGTATGTTTGTGTAAGGGCATTGGGTCTCCTGGAACTGGATTTACAGACAAGTGTGAGCCGCCATGTGGGTGCTGGGGATTGAACCCAAGTCCATCTGGGAGAGCAGCCAGTGCTCTCAACCACTGAGCCATCTCTCCAGCCTGATGTCACAGTGTGGAGCAAGTTATTTGCTACATAAACTACTTAAAAGTAAAAATTTCATCTTATGTTTTGTATTTACTTTCTCCAAAAGAGAACTCATTATTTCATTTCCACACTGTATGGAGATGAAGGTCTGTGTGCTTCTTCAGTTTTAAAGGATAGGTATTGGTCAGAATGGTAAGCAGATGTATATAATTAAGTGTGCTTAAATGTCTGAATATTCCCTCCAGGCAGTTCCCATGTACCACAGAACAGAGAGACATCTGCGCTGCCAGAGCCACAGCAATCTTTGGGCATTTCATCCAGAAATTTTGTTTTGTTTGGTTTTTGTTTTGTTTTGTTTTGTTTTTTGTTTTTTCGAGATAGAGTTTTTCTGTGTAGCTTTGCGCCTTTCCTGGAACTCACTTGGTAGCCCAGGCTGTCCTTGAACTCACAGAGATCTGCCTGGCTCTGCCTCCTGAGTGCTAGGATTAAAGGCGTGCGCCACCACTGCCCAGCTGGTTTGGTTTTTTGAGGCAGAGTTTCTCTGTGTTGGCCTGGATATTCTAGAACTCACTCTCTAGACCAGGCTGGCCTCAAGCTCAGAGATCTGCCTGCCTCTGCCTCCTAGGTGCTGGGATTAAAGGTGTGCGCCATCACTGTCCAGCTCATCCAGACTTTTTAACTCAGAATCTGAAGCACTTGTAGCAGATACAACAGCCGAGTCTCAGGAGTGCTGACAGGGCTGCAGTTGAAGTCACTTCGCAGAGAGCCTGCCACACTTCCCTGAATTCCTTCCACTGAATCAACGGAGCCTGAAACCAGTTCTCCCAGGACAAGGACCTGCTGCTCTGAGCCAGGGGAGGGTTCTCAGCTGCACTGTCCTCTGCAGCTTGCCATACCTATAAGTAACCTAGTGTCTGGCATTTGCTTTATAGGTCAATCTGGAAATCTTCCATGGGATTCCTTTCTGGGAATAAGCCCTGGTTTTCCTTTACAGAGAGTCTGAGAGGTAGTATTAAATGGGAAAAATCTCATTTTCCCCCCAAGTAACAAAGTCTTTTGTTACTAATCCACTCAAGAACTCTAGTAGCTCCCGAGAGGTCAGATGATGGAACTCTTCATACAAGCATATCTTAGTTAGGGTTTCTATTACTGTGAAGAGACCCCCATGGCCACAGAAACTCCTATAAAGGAAAACATTAAAAATTGGGGCTGGCTTACAGTTCATTATCATCATGGTGCGACATGGTGGCTTGCAGGCAGATGTGCTGGAGAAGGAGCTGAGAGTTCTTGACCCACAGGCAGCAGAAGGAAACTATACCACACTGAGCATAGTTTGAGCATATAAGACCTCAAAACTCACCTCCACAGTGACACATTTCCTCCAACAAAGCCACACCTCCTAATAGTGCCACTGCCCATTGGACCAAGCATTCAAACACATGAGTCTATGGGGGCCATACCTATTCAAATCATCACAAAGCACAAAGACTTCATCAGCTGGTCCTCTGCAAGCTCTATAGCAACTGTCATTCCTATCCTTTGTTCCTTCCTCCCTATTTTCTTCCTCGTGATCCTAGGGCAGTTCTTAGCTAGGGTTACAGGTGCTTGTCATCATGACTGGTCTCCCTACTCCTTCCAGGGTCTCACTATTTATCCCTGACTAGTCAGTAACTTTCTGTGTAGATCATGCTGGCCTCAAACTCAGAGATCTGCTTGCTTCTGCCTCTAGAGTGCTGGGATTAAAAGTGTACACAGCTAGACATGGCCTCAAAAATCTTACTTTAGTTAATAATTGTATGTGTATGTGTGATGTATGTGCACGTGTACCTATTTGTATGTAAGGGGATACATGTGTGTATGGTTGCAAGTGTGTGCATGTGTGTGGAGACCCAAGGTTGATGTTGGGCATCTTCTTCAATTGCTCTCCACCTTATATATTGAGGCAAGGTCTCTTGCTGAACCTGGAGCTTGCCTTTTCTGCTAGTATAGTTAACCAGCTTGCTCTGGAGGACTCTCTGTCTCTGTTGCTTCTACCCATTGGGATTACAGGTCAGCTGCCATATCCACTGTCCTAGTTAGTGTTTTATTGCAGTAAAGAGACACCATGGCCACAGCAACTCTTAGAAGGAAAGCATTTGATTGGGGCTGACTGACACTTCAGAGGTTTAGTTCACTATGGTCATGGTGGGTCACATGAATGCATGCAGGCAGACATGGTGCTGGAGGGGCAGCTGAGTGTTCTAAGTCCAGGTCAGGAGGCAGCAGGAAGGGAGCACCACTGCGCCTGGCCTGAGCTTCTGAAAACTCAAAGCCCTCCCCTAGTTGCACATTTCCCCTGCTTAGCAAGGCCACACCTCCTAACAGTGCCACTCCCCGTCAGCCTACAGGGGCCATTTCCATTCAAGCCACCACAATCTTTGTATAGCGAGCACTTTACCAGCCGAGCCTCCCAAGCCCATTAATTAACTTTTATTTTTTTATAATAATAGTTTTGTGCCTTATATGGAACATGTTAGGAAAATGGACTCTGTATAAACAATGGTGCAGTTTGAGTGAGGCATATCTTTCTTGTATTTATTTAAGATACAGGTGACATGGGCTGAAGAGATGGCCCAGGGGTTAAGAGCACTGACCTCTCTTCCAGAGGACCCAGGTTCAATTCCCAGCAGCCACATGGCAGCTCACAGCTGTATGTAACTCCAGTTCCAGGGGATCTGGCACCCTCACACAGACATGTATTCAGGAAAAACACCAATACACATAAAAAAAAAAAAAAATCTTTAAAAAAAGATACAGGTAACACAATATTTAAATTTAATGAAAGCACCTGATATCATTTGAGTCAGAGATTGAGTAAACCCATGCTATGTAGCTAATTGATTCAAAATTAAATAAAAGTGAAATTATATTTTCCTCCTTCTTTCTGCACCTATGCTTTTTCCTTGAGACAGTGTCTGGTGTAACCCTGAGCTCCAGAGGTCAAGTAATCTTACCTCAGCTTTTTGTACACCTAAGATTACAGCATACATTACAGGTGCCAGGGCTCCTGGTTTGTTTGTTTGTTTGTTTTTTAATTAAGACAGCCTCTCTCTCTCTCTCTCTCTCTCTCTCTCTCTCTCTCTCTCTCTCTCTTTTATTTTTTTATTTATTATTATTTTTTTTTTTGGTTTTTTGAGACAGGGTTTCTCTGTGTAGCTTTGCGCCTTTCCTGGGACTCACTTGGTAACCCAGGCTGGCCTCGAACTCACAGAGATCCGCCTGGCTCCGCCTCCCGAGTGCTGGGATTAAAGGCGTGCGCCACCACCACCTGGCGAGACAGCATCTCTTATGTGGCCCTGGAGCTTGCTCTATTGACCAGTCGGGCATCAGGTGCAGTCCTTTTGCTTCTGCCTCCAATGTGCTTGGATCACAAGTGTGAGCCACTGTGCCTGGCTCGCTGCTGTTTTAAAAATCACCAAGGAGTCTAACGCCAGAGCATGGTGTTATAAGACTTACATTTTCTCTATCAGACTTCAAAGTTTAATTCAGTCTGATATTTTGGGAATAAAACAATTGGAGGGCTAGTGGGATGGATAAGTGGGTAAGGATATCCAAATGACCTGAATTCCATTCCCAGGACTAAATATATTAAAAAAAAAAAAAATAGAAAGAACAGAATGAGAGGACAGAATTGGTCATTGATAAGTTCAGTGTAGTTGGAAGTGTGAGTGAGTGAGTGTGTGTGTGTGTGTGTGTGTGTGTGTGTGTGTGTGTGTGTGTGTGTGAAGAGAGGTGGGGGGGCGGGGGGCAGCGGGGAGAGGTGTACATGCACGCCACAGTATAAGGGTACGTTAGAAGACAGCTTTCACAAGTCTGCTCTCCTGTAATGTGGGTCTTGGGTATCCAGACTCCGGCTCAGGTTTTACAGTAAGCATCTCTACCTACTGAGCCATCTCATTGCCCTCACTGTGTTTATATTTATTTTGAAAACAACTGCAAATAGGACTACAATTTTTTACCTCCCACTGATTTTTAATTTCTTTACCTTTTCTGTCCGGAAACTGAAATTTGTTTTTTGTTTGTAAAATTTCAGAACAGGAAAATGTTTTAGAAACAATCCCAAACATCTAATATATCAACAGGATTTGCTGAGGACGTATTTCCTGAGACATACAAATGGTAAGTTTAACAAAGGATCTCTTTCTGTGTGTTGTCATTGAGTTACACTGTCAGCTCCTAATGTTCCTTTCTTTTTAAATTTTCTTTCCTTCTGTTTATTCTAGGGTTTCCGTATGTAACCCTAGCTAGTCTGGAACTTGCTATGTAGCTAAGATTGGCTTTGAATTTGCAGATCTCTGTCTCTCCCTCCCAAGTGCTGTAAAGATGTGAACTACTAGAATATATATTTTCAAGACAGGATTTCTCTGTGTAGCCCTGGCTGTCCTGGAACTCACTCTGTAGACCAGGCTGGCCTCAAACTCAGAGATCCGCCTGCCTCTGCCTCCTGAGCACTGGGATTAACGGCATGAGCCACTAGGATAGTTTTTATTTTGTACATTCACAGAAGACTAAAGAATTCCAATGTAGAAAATTGAGACATGGAAAGTTACTTGGGAAATGAAATTCATACAGGATGGAGTGATGTTTCTGAAGAGGTACTGTAATAATGAAAAATATAGAGGTTATCTAAAAGTAAAATAGATTTTATTAGTATCTTTCCAAAAGGTGTGATAATTAGATCAGCAGAGAACACATTTCCTTGTAAGTGAAACTGTCCCCAGAGCTCATCAGAACAACAGTGACAACAAAGAACATCTCAAATCTAAGTTCCTAGTTGGATTTTCCTGGGAAAGTGTGTCTCACATTGGTGAGAGATTACTCTTAAAGAGATTACCTTAGTGTTTTAGTAACCATGCTAGTCTTAACTTTCCTGGTACTGGTAGCCTAATTTATTTTTCTTAGTGTTATAGCAGATGATAAGGAAGATGCAGATATCTTTCTTCAAGAATGCATTCATACATCATTAACAAATTTTCTTTATAGATTTTAATTTTATGTGGATGAGTTTTTTGCCTGTATATATGCATGTGTGCCATGTATATGCCTGCTGTCCATGGAAGTCAGAAGAGAAAGGTGAATCCTCTTGAGTTACAAATAGTTGTGAACCTCCTCATAAGAATGACTTTATAAACAGTCCATGTTATTTTTTTAATTAAAAAAACGAAACAATCTGAAAAAAAAAAACAAATAGTTGTGAACCACAGTGTGTATTTTAGGAACCAAATCTAGGTCCTCTGTAAGAGCAACAAGTATTCTTAACTGAGAAGCCATCTCTTGTCCCATATTTATCAAGTCTTTGTATTGTGCTTATGAGTATTTACAGTATATATCAGCAGGCTGTGAAGAGCTCCTTGTGTAAGTTGTAGAAGTGTAACTTTATGAGTAAGTGGTTCCAAAAGTTAGATGATTGATTACATGAGGTCCTCAGAATGAGTGTGGATAGAGATGTCTTGGTATCATTGACTCTGGCATGGAAGATGGAGACAGACTCCTTTACAGGCATGTGGGTAACTTTTGCATTCTCCAGTGAACATAAGTGATGTCTCTTTGCTCAAATTGGCATGCATGTGATGGTTTAGGACTCAGTGACCTTTGAGGATGTGGCTGTGTACTTTACCAAAGAAGAGTGGAACTTACTAGATGGATTTCAGAGAAACCTCTACAGAGATGTGATGCTGGAGAACTACCAGAACGTGGCCACAGTAGGTGAGACCGTCATTATCCCCTATATCCTTTTAAGGAAGAAAAGTACGTTTTTTTCAAGATTGATGATGTAACTGTGAATATAATGGGAAACAATAGAGACATTGTCATTACTCTAGCACATTTTAATCTATTATTGGCAGTTGTCAACAAATGTGGTTTTAGAGTTAGTAGCATCACTCTCATTTCCTTAGAAATGTACAACTTTTTTTTTTTTTTTTTTTTTTTTCAAGACAGGGTTTCTCTATGTAGCTTTGCGCCTTTCCTAGAACTCGCTTGGTAGCCCACCCAGGCTGGCCTCGAACTCACAGAGATCCGCCTGCCTCTGCCTCCCGAGTGCTGGGATTAAAGGTGTGCGCCACCACCGCCCGGCCAGAAATGTACAACTTTATACTCTATCTTTGATATACTACATCAGAAAAGTCTTCATTTGTCTTCCTATCACCTGTTTTCACTATTTTCCCATGTGAATGTTTCACTCTTAATGGTAACAACTTGCTGAGCATGATGGGGCACACTTATAATCCCAGCATGCAGGAGGTTGAGGCAGGAGGACTGCTACAAACTCAAGGCCATCTGACCTATATAACAAGTACAAGGCCAGCTGGGGCTGTATAGCAAGACAATGTCTCAACACAATCAAAACAAACAAAAAACTAAACAACTATTGGTATAGTCATTTCCCATGAGATTAAAGATCTTTGTCCATTTCTGTTACATCCAATTTGAAGAAAAATCTTGGTAATGTTTATATCTATTTTTTTTTTTCTCCAAGACAGGGTTTCTCTGTGTAGTCCCAGATGTCCTGGGGCTCTGTAGACTAGACTGTCCTTGAACAGCCTGAGTGCTGGGATTAAAGGCGTTTGCCATAACTGCCTGGCTTTACTATATATTTAGGGCTGAATGTGATATCAGGAGTCAAATATAGCCCAAATAATGAATATTTGCATTTTGAATTATTTAAAACTAATTCTAGGAGCTGGAGAGATGGCTAGGTGATTAAGAGCACTTGCTATTTTGTAGAGGACCCAAGTTCAGTTCCTGGCATCCACATGGCAGCTCATAACTATCTGTAACTCTAATCTCAGAAGATCTGACACCCTCTTCTGGCTCCTTGGGCATCTGTATACATATGGTATACATACATACATGTAGGCAAATATTAACATACATAAAGTAACAATAAATCTTTATAAAAACAGTTCTAGGGGCTGGGGATGTAGCAGTATTTGTAGAGTAATTGTCCAACATACACAAAAAGTTCAGTTCCCAGTACTGCATAAAACTAAACATGGTGTTGCATGTCTATAATTTCAGTACTTGGGAAATAGAGGCATGGATCATATTCAAGGTTGTCCTTGGCTACATAGTGAGTTCAAGGCCTGTCTGGGTCACCTGAGACCCTATCTCAAAAAAGATAATAATTCTCATGTTTCATTAGAAATATAATTTCTCTTTCACGGGAGGCTTTGCTATCTCTTTTGTCAGCCTCTGTCATTGATGTATCATTTCCCATTTATAGGAGTTCAGCTTGTCAGACCCAGCCTGATCTCTTGGTTGGAGGAAGTAAATTTGTTGACTATAGTGGAGCAAGGCAGTCTCCAGGTTGAGCATGGGATAAAATGATTTCTTATCGACAAGTTCAGCATTGTTTTGAAGTATGAGGAAGCTTTTTCAGAATTTTTTTTTAAAATTTTTATTTTATTTGCGTGAATGTTTTGCTTACATATATATCTGTGCACCATGTGTGCAGTGCCTGTGGAGCCCTGGGACTGGAGTTACAGACAGTTTTGAGTGGCCATGTACGTGCTGGGAATTGAACCTAGGTTTTGTGCTCTTAACTGCTAAGCCTTCTCTCTAGCCACAGGAAATTTTTTTTTCATATATGATACATTTTATTTTGAGCAAATCCATTCTCAATGCCACTAATGAAAAAACTTTAAAAGAAAGTTGATGAGATGCCTCAGCAGATAAGGAAACTTGCTACCAAACCTGATTACCTGAGTTTGATTCCCTGAGCCCACATAGTGCAAGCCTATATTCATGTGTACACATGCACACACACAAATGCATACAAAATAAACAAATAAATGTAAAAACCAAAAGGCCAACTTAAATCTGAACACTGAAGTCCTTGGACTGCAGGTTTTGAGATATTTTCATCATCTCTTAACTGTATCTTTAGTAATTTTTTCTAACTTCCAACCTTGTACCATGCCATGTATGCATGTATGCATGCACACATGTGCACACACACATTAAGTAAATAAATGTGAAAAGAAAAAAATTGTTAATTTTATTTTGACCCTAGATCCTTATGACTGTCAAATTATAGCATTATATAATTGAATTTGATTATATAATCAATCTGTTTAATTCTATCTTTATTAATTTAGCATGTTTAATATCAGAATACTTAACATCCCATTTTGTTGTATAAATGTTTGTATGTGTATTTTTTTTAATGTTTTATTTCAGAAAGGAAAATGGAACTTGAGAAACTTCAGCTGGACAGTTTTTGGTCAGATATATCAAATGAGACACAACTGGCAAGATTAACAAAGGTATTTCTTTGTTTTCAAAATCAGAGAACATTTGGAATTCTGTGATATTTCTATGTATGAACAAAATATGTTGAGAGAAGTAGCCTTTGCCCACAGGGACCTGTTTCCTAGCATGAAGCTTTGTGCTTTAGGGTTACCCCAACAATGTCCTACATAAGTCTGAAAAAATTTTTAGTACTCATTCATCTCTTTTTCAACAGGCAGGAAGCCACAATGGAGGGAAGCTCTGTGACTCTAAGAAGGTTGGAAAATTCTTTAGTGAACGCCCATGCCTTCAGACATATATGAATATTTGCAATACAGAAAAGATTTCTGAATATAATTGGCATAGAAAAGACTTCCTTCCTTCAGTTAAGAAAACCTCTACTGAAGAGAAACTTTCTGTGTTTATTCAGTGTGAAGAAGCCTTTGCTCAGACACCAAGCATTGCTTACCAGAGGACATGCATTCAGGACAATTCCTTTGAATCCAGTGATTTTGGCAAATCCTTTGTTGATAATCAGTTGCAACTTAAGGCACACAGCAAAGCCCACAGTAAAGAAAATCTCTGTGAATGGGAGCAAAGTAAGAAAGCTTTTACTCAGTCCACAAATTGTTCTGTTTTAGAGAAATGCTATGAAGATAAGGAATGTGGAAAAGCCTCTACAGCACACTCAGGCCTTACTACACATGTAGGAAGTCATAAAAGGCAGAAGTCTTATAAGTGCACAGAGTGTGGGAAAGTGTTTGGGAAGTGCTCAGGACTTACTGAACATGTGAGAAGTCACACAGGAGAGAAACCTTTTAAATGTAACCAATGTGGAAAGTCTTTTGCTTCTTCATCCTATCTTACTGCGCATTTGAGAACTCATACTGGAGAGAAGCCCTTTGAGTGTACAGTATGTGAGAAAGCGTTTACACGTTCCTCCTACCTTCGAATTCACATGCGAACTCACACTGGAGAGAAACCCTATAACTGTAAGGAGTGTGGAAAAACCTTTGCTGTGCGCTCGTGCCTTAATAAACATGCCCTAACACATACTGGGGAGAAGCCTTATGATTGTAAGGAATGTGAGAAGGCATTTACTAGCTTTTATCAACTAACTGAACATATGAAAATTCACACTGATGAGAAACCCTTTGAATGTCAGGTGTGTACAAAATCATTTAGGAATTCCTCATGCCTTAAGAAGCACTTCCAAATTCACACTGGAATAAAACCATTTCAATGTAAGGACTGTGGGAAAGCCTTCAGTGGACGGACTAGCTTTACTACACATGTATTGACTCATACTGGGGAGAAGCCATATGAGTGTAAGGAGTGTGGGAAAGCCTTCAGTACCTCCGCAGGCCTCATTGAACACATAAGAAGTCACACAGGAGAGAAGCCCTTTGAATGCTATCAATGTGGAAAGGCCTTTGCATCTTCCTCATATCTTACTGCACATTTGAGAACTCACACTGGAGAGAAGCCATTTGAGTGTACAGTGTGTGGTAAAGCATTTACACGTTCTTCCTACCTTTGTAGACACATGAAAACTCACATTGGAGAGAAACCCTATGTATGTAAGGATTGTGGGAAAGCCTTCATTGAGTGTTCATGCCTTAACAGACACATAAGAACATACACTGGAGAGAAACCCTATCTGTGTTAGCAATGTGGGAGAGCATTCACCAGCTTTTCTTAACTCACTTAACATATGAAAACTCTTACTGGTGAGAAGCCTTTTGAATATCAGATATGTACAAAAATTTTTAGAAATTTGCATGCCTTAAGATGCACTTCTGAATTAACTCTGCACTAAAATTATATCAGTGTAAAGAGTGTGGAAAAACCTTTGGGGGCCACACTGGCTTTACTACACTTGCACTAACTCACATTGGAGAAAAGCCATATGAATTCAGAGAATGTCAGAATGCCTTCACTTCTTTCCTCACATCTAACATCTACGAAGTCACACAGGAGAGAAACCCTTTGAATGTGACCTGTACTATGTATATAAGAACTGTGGGAAAGCCTTTACTGAGCACTTAGCCATTAGTAAACACTTAAGAACACATGCTGTAGAGAAACCCCATGATTATTAGGAATTGAGAAAGATTCTACTGTTCATACTTCAGTGGATATACACTCTAAATGGAAAGAATATGAAAAAGGCATCATTTATTCTTCTGATCATATGGAACATAAATAATCACAGAGTGAAACTCATGTAAAGAATGAGGAAAGTGCACTAAGAAGTGTGCACATTTGTGTATGTACATTATTAAGCTCAGCACAGGTAGTCAGTTGTCCTAGAAATGGCTTAACAGATGTACTGCTTTTCTTGAGTTTGGTTCCCATCACCCACGTCGGGCCACTCATAACCATCTGTAACTCCAGCTCTAGGGAGATCTTATGGCTCTGGCCTCTGTGGGTACTTGCATTTGCATGTGCCTCATACACAGACATACACATAATTAAAAATGAATCCTAAAATACACGGGTACACGGGGCCTCACACTCAAGAAGACCCATGAATGTAGTGAACTTGGAAAAGTAACTGGAGTCTACGTACAGTCTGTCAAGTAGGAGACCATACAGTGTAGCATGGAAACTTGATTATTATCTCAGGCTTTGCTAAGTATGTGAACAACTGCAATAGAGCAAAGCACTATTGATATGTGATATGTGTAGCAGTTATGTGCCTGGTAAGTAATTTAATGTTCACCTGTGATCTCACAGTAGAGAATAACTTTAAGAAAAGAAATACTAGAACTAAAAAAATGTATTTCACTACCTTTGCTAAATGTGATTCACACAGAAGATAAATTACGTGTATGGATTATGGCAAATGCTTCCATATATTCTCAAATCCTGTGTGCTCACACAGCCATGGATTTTAGGTGTCTCTATAGGCGTACTTTTAATGTTTTGAATACCTCAATGTATGTGTACTAATCATTTGTGTTGTGTTAGTTTTTGGGGGCAATTGAAATAAACAGCTATTAACCCCAGGTAGGGCACTGATAACAGATCAAAGAAATTATTCCATCCAAATAGAGCTTGATGAGCCACTGAACTTTTGGGGGTTACTTACAGGAACAAGGGTTAGGGGTTTCTGGTGGTTTGAATAAGAATGGCCCCATAGTTGCATATATTTGAATGCTAGTCACCAGCGAGTGGCATCATTTGAGAAGGATTTGAAGGTGTGACCTTGTTGGAGGATGTGTTGGGGTAGGCTTTGAGATTTCAAAAGCCTGTGCCAGACCCACTCTGGCACTCTGCCTATGGATCAAGATATAAAATTCTCAGCTACTTCTCCAATACCATGTCTGTCATCATACTGCCATACTGCCTGCCATGATGATAATGGACTGACCTCTGAAAATGTAAGCCAGTCCCCAATTAAATGCTTTTATAAGACTTGTCTTGGTTATGATGTCTCTTCATAGCATGGAATAGTGACTTAGACAGGGTTACTTTCAGGAGCATGGGTGATTCAAAGGCAGTTGTGCCACTGTGGAGCCCACCCTGGAATCGGTGATGATTCATGAAAGCTGCCTTCTTGAACCTCCCTGCTCATTCTTCAGGCAATATCCATTGGAGAGTCTCTACATAGTAGTAGTTTATTGTTATTATAATCCTTGTAAAGTGTCCTTGGGAATCTTGTAGCTTTCTGAACTTCCTGAATCTTGTTTCACTAGCTTCTTGAGTTTTATGTATCTCTCCTCCCTCTAAAAGGAAGAGAATGTTTCTAGTTGGAGAAAATGGCTGCACAACCTTTCATCTAGCTCTTACGTTCTTTGCATCTGCTCTTATACAATGTTGTCTGAACTTTGAATGGGGGTGATGTATAGATTCTGGATTATTTTCATCTATTTACAGCTGAGCATTGGTCCACTAGGCCACTCTAAGAGTCACTGTCAGCAGCTTGACTGGTTAGGAGTCCCCATAGTAGCCATTGCCCTCTGCAAAAGTGAAGCTTCCCTCATCGATGTGCAGTAGCCTTAAATCCAATTGTGAAGCAGTTGATAATGCTCCCAATAGTCACTCCACTGTTTATTCCCACGTGCACACATCCCCTGACGTGTTAGTAGTAAAATACTCAGAGTTCATATAAGTAGGACTGTTGTGAAAGTTCTCCAGCAGCCTACCCTATCGCTGATACTATGAAAGCCAGACACTGGGAAAAGGTATCCCAGCTCCATTGCAGCCTGATTTCTCCATGTTCTGCAGTCAGAGCATGTGTTGTCTTCAGCAGTAGGAAATTATCTAATTTTGGCACACAGCCACCAGCCATAGATCTTAATGGCTTGTGGGGATTCAAATGATTCACTGGCCAACAACTCATAAAGTAGCTCATCCTTGGCACTGGGATTATTCCCTCAGCGCTCTTGTGCTTTATTGGAGTGGCTCTTTTCATTTGCACATGGTGTTTTGTTGAAAATCTTAACCTAATGTTACTGTACTTTTTGATGCTTTTCCAAAAGGTTTGGCAATGTATAAGGAAACTTTTTTTTTTTTTTAAGATGGTGGGCAAGATCTCTGAAGGCCTACTACTGTGTACTCTAAACAAGTGCCAGTTGAGCTTGGATGGCTAAGGAAATACCAAATACATTAGCAATGTCCAGTGCACCATGAAAGGTCCTATCACTTCTATCATGTTTGCTTGAGAGAGCAATATGTTAGGTTCACTGGGATTGATTTAGAATATGATAGTCTTAGTGGAACAAGCATGAACTGTTAAGTCAGACCCAGAACCAAGTGGCAGCAGGGCCATGCTCTAGCCTGCTGGACTTGCCACTGCAGTCAGCTTCCTGTGTCTCACAGGTCTGAGGCCAGCCTCATGGCCCTTGCCTTCCTTGGTTGTATCTGCTTCCTGAAGGGAGCCTTGGATGAGTGAACAATCTATAACTCTAGTATATATTCTTACAGAGAAAAATGTACTCAATACACTGGGAATAACTGCCCACCCCTAGAACATGCTTAATTTTCCCCCCAGCATTGCTTTATCAGTTAACTGTGGTAAACTCTTGGTTTGTAAAATACTCCAGAGACTGAGTTTGGCTCCCAGCACCCATGTTGGGCCAGTCATAACTGTAACTCAGTAGCACAGCATTTGCCTTTTCTCTAGGAACTCCTTGATACAAATCTTGCTACCTTTGCCTTTGAATAACCTGGACAGACCTCTTTGTCTGTTTTTCCCTTCTCTCCTCCCCTTTTGATTTTGTTAGCACTTGATAAACTACATGCTGGTGTGAATATCTAGCTCTGCCAGAGCCTCCTCACAAGACCCTGTAAAGATTACATTTCACTTGGGACTAGTAAAGCCATTAAAGCTTCAACCCCAGGTCCCTTCTGAATCAAGTCTTCCTTTATTCTCCCATGAACGCGGTCCCATCTAACTTGGTGAATAAGTATCACACATTGTCTTTGACATTCGAATCTCCCCAGCAATACCAATCCTACAGTCCTACAGTCCTAGATATTTGTGGGAACTTCAACAGGCAATAATCAAGTGACTCTGAAGGCCTGTATTGACCAATCTATCCTCTGATTTCCCTCTCATTGCCTCTAGGTTATGCATCCTTTGTCTCAAAGATGATGCTTAGTTATGTAACTCAGTTTCTCGTGTCATTCAGACTGATCCTCCTTGGCTCCCATATCTCGTAGCCTTAATGGCCAGGATATGAGCAGCTCTTTCATTTCTTATTTAAATAAATCTTTCTCTACTTCAAGCAGTTCAGATGCTGAATATTTTGTGATAATAGTTCCCTGTGCTGGGTGCTGTCTGCATGCTGAATCATGGATTTTTGAGGTACATCTTCTGCCACTTGTGTTTCATTTCCTGCTTATGGGTTGATTTTTTTTCCTCAATGTGTTTCAAGTTTTAGGATTCTGAGAATAATACTTTAACATAGCTCAAACTTGGATATTGTTTCTTTTCCATTTCTTTTCTAGCTGTAAAAATCAGTAAGCCAATGCTTCCATCTCTGTTTTCTGCTCTTCCTGCCAGGTCACAGCCCAATGCAGAGGATAGCACCCATGTTTTTTTTCTCATTATTAATTCCCACTTTAGAAGGGCAAATTCTTTCTGCAAAACAGCTCTGTTGTCCACTGCAAAGATCATGCAACTGCCACTACATCCTGCTTACAGATCTGTCCCGTATGTGTTACATTCAGAGATAGTATTATATTTTCTTATAGATTAGCCATTTGTGAAGAGGGCATCCTGTCTGCACTCTTTTCAAGAGGGCATGCCCTCCTATGTCATATAGAAGAAAGTGGTCACCCTAGGATTCCCCCTAAGAATACTTGACTCTCAGATGGCTTAGCCTTGGTTACATATTTTATCACCCATCACAGGGAGCATACAACCACTTATTTCATATTCCATAGCAAGGCATACCATTCCATAGCACATGAGGAAATATAGCCATTATCAGTATTGACCTCATGGAAACTCCACTTTTATTTGCACCAGCCTCAATTGCATGTCTTATCACCACCCATCACAGCCATATAACTACCCCTCTCCAAATCACATTAGGTTTTATAGGTACATGTTTGCATGCTAATTATGTTTAACTTTTCTTGGGTAGACAGAAATAAATGTCTATTCACTTTAGGTGGGGTACCAATGAAAAACTAAAAAAATAATTTTACCAAGTCTAACTGGGTGAAACAATGAGTTTTTTGAGGGTTATTGTCTTAGGGCTACTATTGCTATGATAATCCCTGTGACTAAGGTAACTTGGGGAGGAAAGGGTTTATTTGGCTTACACTTCCTTATCATTGTTCACCATGAAAGGAACAAAGAAAGAATATTAAAAGGGAATATTAATATTAAATATTAAAGACTAAGTAACATATAAAGCAGACCTATTAGAATTACAGCTGACCTCTCAATGGAGACTGTATAGGGCAGAAAGGCCTGGATAGGTGTGCTGCAGACTCTACAAGACTATGTAGTTGGAAGATTTTCTGTGTCCTGGCCTGCTGGTGGTTGGGACAAATCTCTCCCACATGCATCCTCAAGTAAACACACAGAAGCTCATATTAATTATAACTGCATGGCCATGGCTCAAGCCTTTTGCTATCTAGCTCTTATATCTTAAATTAGCCCATAACTATTGATCTATGTATCTCCGCATGTCCCATTACATGTTGCTCCTTGGGCAGCTTGTTAGTGTCTCTTTATCCTTCCTGTCTCTCACTTTGAATTTCCCACCTGCCTCTAAGCTGTTTTGCCATAGGCCAAACAGCTTTATTTATCAACCAATCAGAGCAACATATATACACAGCATACAAAAGACATGTACAGCATGTCTCCTTTTCTTTTTTTTTTTTTTTTCCAAAAAAGAATGTTCGGGTGGTGGTGGCACATGCCTTTAATCCCAGCACTTGGGAGGCAGAGGCAGGCAGATCTTTGTGAGTTTGAGGCCAGCCTGGTGTACAGAGCAAGATCCAGGAAAGGCTCAATGCTACACAGAAAAACCCTGTCTTGAAAAACCAAAAATAAATAAATAAATAAATAAATAAATAAATAATGTTTTAAACTTTAACATAGTTAAATTACATGTAATAGAACAATTATCAAGCAAGAATTACAGTTACAATGTCTAGTCTATTTGTATTTGGCAAAATTAAAGAAAATATTCGGAGAGACAGGCACAGCAGCGGCGATAGGCAGAGGCAGGTAGGCCCGGTGGCGGCCAGCAGAGACATACATGCCCGGTGACGGCCTGCAGAAGTAGGTAGGCCCGGTGGCAGTCCGCAGAAGTAGATAGGCCAGACAAAGGCAGGCAGGCCTGGCAGAGGCAGACAAGCCCAGTGTGGAGGCAGGCAGGCAGGCCTAGCAGGCCACGGCCGAAACACAGTTGCATAAAGACCAGAAACTGAGCTATTACCCACTGAAGAGCTAGTGAAAACAAGCTCTTAATCAAGAGCTTGGAACAGGGACACTTTAACCCCAACACCTGGGGAAGAAGCTATCTCCGTGAGACGAAACCAGAACGAATTTGAACACTCCGTCTGAGGCCAACCCAGGGCTCAGCTGCTAATCCTGCGAAACCCAACAACTTGGAGGTGTTGGTGAGACTAGCCCGCTCAGGTGAAATCCATCTGGGAGAGGATTCAGATCCTATAGTCTGAAGTCTGAAGAAACAAGATCAGCTGAGGAGTTAATGAATGAAAACGTGACCTGGGAACACAGAAGAAGGTACTGCCCAGCCACCAAAACAGATCACCAGAATCACAAGTATGTACTTCACCAACTGAGACCAGCTGCTCCCAAAGAAACAGCCCAACACCACCAATATAACCAAGAACTCCTAGTGAACCAAGACTAAAAATTAGAACAAGAGAGGCACTCTCAGACACAGATACCACCTGCACTGAGCAGAGGAAGAGATGAGTAGACG